CTGCCAACGTGAAAGCATCTGAACGACGAAAAAATGTTACGGTCTTGTTAGAACTAATGAATTATTCCCTGTTAATTAGTAGGCCAATTTTTTAGCTTTTATCGTAGTATCTGCCAGGTGTCTTCCTGGCAGGTTGTCCGATAGCCCGGTAGCCCGCAATGTGTATGTGTTGTAAGCATTTGACGTAATCTGGCGGGCGTTTCAGGAAAAAAGCCTAGTCGATTCAATGTCAGTGTGTCACAAGCCTTCGTAAAAATCGTTAATGCCACGCTGTATGGCCGGACAACTAAGGCCTTACTGAGATGCACACGGCGGTTTGGGCGTTATCTATCACCACTACTATTGCTATATTTGCCTTAATGATGTATATATATATATATATATATATATATATATATATATATATATATATGTAAGGCATTTAATAAAAGATCGAAAGAGCACGGAATGTCCCAAATAAAGCCTGACCAAGTCAATCATGTGGCATTCTGTTTTAAGTTTGATGTTTGTATGAATGATGCGTATCAGTGTGGTTGCTCCTCACAGGGTAGAGCTAAGTGGATTTATTGCCTATGTGTCGAACACATGGCAATCAGATTTGTTAGGTTTGCGGTTGATTTAGTCAGAATCATGAGATGTATGTCGCTCCAATTTCTGGTAACGACAGGAACGAAAATCATATTTTCATGGCATGGTGAACATCAATTTTTTTAAACATGAAAGCATGTCATATTTATATTTACACCGGCCTCTGTCTGAACCAGCCCGCCATACGGTTCTCAGCCATTCAAGTTCGCCATTCAGTCAGAGTAGGTAGTCAAGATGGTGCCGTCATGTCTGAGTATGTGGCGGCAACCATTACAACCAACAGCGATCAGAAAGCATTCCGTTTTCGAGAAGCCTTTTGCGAACAGAGCGTGTTTCAGGGACAGTATTAACCCAGGTCCGCATTCCGGACAAATGCATAGAGGTGCACTAATAAGCACTGGATGGGCAAAAAATTGCATGCGATGTCATCGATCTAGATCTCACGACTTCGAGCCCCCCGCCAACATGTATACTTGTACTCTGCGACAAACCACGACATCTGATGGTTACACACCAGCAAAACGGTTCAGTAACTACAAAATAGAAACTAGAGGGATGGGTCTTTTAGCTTCTCCCCCGCACAAGCATGGAAGAAATTATTTTATGTTTCGCGAGCCACCACAAATGTCTTTTGCAGCTTATCTGTTGAACTTGTTATTGCAATACACGGCACCGGCTGGTGCTCCTGGGTTACCCAAGACATGTAACCGGGAATTGGTTGTAGCCCAATTTCAAACCTACAGCGCTGGCGACGCCTGTCCACAACACCATCTGACTTCTGCTGTTGAGTTGCTAGATTGCTTACGGCGACCGTAGGCAGTCTGGCAACTAAAAGATTAATTTGAAAGGCTGGAGAAATCGTCGCCTTGCTGGCGGCGAGCCCTTGTAGTTTGTTAACGGCAGCTGATGCTTATCTCATCGACATTAAGCCGCCGTCGCTCTGCTGGATTGCAATGTTCAGAGCAACGCAGTCTCACCGAAATTACGTATGACAAGCTATTATATAGTTCATTTATTGAAAAGTGTGTCATGATGCATGTTGCACAAAGACCAACCGCAAGTGGATAAAACCAAGGCGGAGCTTAGTAAGAAGATGTGTTTCTGTTTGTTCTGACAAGAAAAATCGATGGCAAAGTGTTGCATGAATGACTGTTTAAAATGGTAGATCTGGACAACTGAAAAAGCGTTGTAGAAGGCTGGTCTTGCAGTGAAATTGCACAGCGTATCTTAGATGGCATACAGCTACATTTCAGCCTCAAAGGTGACGCTGCATATCAAGGCAAAGGGCTCGCCATCGATGCGTTTTGGTTCCATTCCAGCCACAAGACACTTCAAACAGCTTAAGTGTACACCAGCGGTGGGAACACTACCTGTCTGGGCGGTTGTGTCGCCAAATACCGCAACAGCAGACGGTAACGCTTCATTTGTCCTGTTCCAGACGAGAAAAAGTGTCGCAGTGATGGCGAATGTGCCAGTGACCGGTTCTGCTTGGGCGGGGTGTGCTTCGACCCGTGCACGCTGCTGGACCCGTGCAACAGCTCGCTGAAGAACGGTGTGTGTCGCACGCGCAGCCACCGGCCGGTCTGCAGCTGCCCCCAGGGCTTCTCCTTCGAGGCGGACACCAATGCCTGTGTCAAAGGTCAGTTGGCGCTGCGCAGCCGGCGAGGGAGGCATAGGGCGGTTGGTGAGGCGCAGAGTGCGACTGTGTGCGTATGTAGTGGTGACGCATCACATGACTCTACCCCTGTACACAGGCAACTGTTATGCAAAGTTCCATTGAATCCGTATCACACGTGCAGTGCGGGTTCAATGATTATGAACCGTAGACACGACACTCCGTCAAAATTCGGACACGCCCCGTCCAATGTCAGGCATGAGCCGAAGCTGGCCTGTCCCAAGCCGTGTCTTAAACAGGTACCCAAGAAAAGCTTCAAGTATCCAGTCTTAAGCCCAAATATAAAAAGTGGTATGCAAGCTGATGCGCACCTAGCAGTGGGGCTGTGACGTCAGGCTCTGGGGAGCGGACCGGACTCTACGCCGAGCTGGTCCGTTGCCAGCAGTAGAGCTGTAACGTCAGACTCTGAGGAGCGGACCGGACTCTACGCCGAGCTGGTACGTTGCCAGCAGTAGAGCTGTGACGTCAGACTCTGGGGGGCGGACCGGATTGTACGCCGAGCTGGTCCGTCGCCAGCAGTGGAGCTGTGACATCAGACTCTGGGGAGCGGACCGCACTGTACGCCGAGCTGGTTCGTCGCCAGCAGTGGAGCTGTGACGTCAGCGTGCCAGCATCCCGCCCCCCACAGTCCGAGACAATGCAGTCAGCCGGGGCCTACGATCCGCGGATGGGGCAAAGAAGGTCTTTGTTCTTTTCACCCTCCCACCACATCCACATAAGGCGCTCACTGGTGCTCATGTCAAGTAGCCATCGAAAAAGGAAAGCTAAGGACGATAGATGATAATGCTGAGGGCTATGGAGGCCAAGGAGGGCGCTCGACGTCCGGATACTCGTCGGGTTTCACTTACCTGCAGCTGTGACTAAACAAATGAGAATAAGCATTTAACCTTTCGTCACTGCATTCCTGGGCATGTCTGGGCAAGTACTAACGTGGTAGATGTTTCCTCCGGACCCTGCAAGTGAGGAATTACAGCAAAGGCGCGAACAGTGACGGTTCAAGGACGTGGATCTTAAGCACATATCGTGCATGCGGTCGCTCATGTAGCGAGCCCGTGTTCTAATCTCGAGCTGGCATCGGAAGAGCATCGGAGGCGGGTTCGGACCGCGGGACCGCGGACCTCGCTCGGTGCCACGTCAGGCACACGCCATGGCGCAGTCTGCCCGACGCGTTGTGCCATGGGTCCGATGCGGCGGCCAAAGCGGGTTACTCCTCCCCCACCTCACCCCAAACCCCATCTGGGCCCGGCGGGAGGCCGCGCGCGTGAGAGGTTCCCGGAATCGGAGCGCAGCTGGCCGCATGGCGCACGCTGCGACTGGACTCACGGAGAGTTATTGGTGCGTGCAGCCCGCTCAGGCCGGCGGCCAGGGCGTGCGAGAGATTAGGGACCAAGGCCCAGCGTGCAGTCTGAACCTGTGCGCTGCTTTCGCTAAGTTGGATTTCAGGCCATGGGTGTGAAAAAGATCGAGATTTCCTCGACGCCTTGAACCTCTGTGTTGGTGGGAAAGCACACAAGCTTCACACGGCAGAAGCATTAGCATGGGTAGTAAAGCCTACTAGGCTACAACTGCGGTGGGCTGAACGCAGCTAGTGGTGGCATTTCTGGAGCTTCGTCTATTGCTAACCACTGCGGAGATTAGGGGGGGGGGATGCAAGCCCCGCACCCATTGTACCATAGCGGACTGCCTTTGCGAAATGATATGCTACTTCACACGGTCATTTAAGACTGGTCATGTTTCCCACCTATATAATCGAGCTGAACGAGAAGAAAGCAGCTTGGAATGCTTGCGTTTGACTCTACTTGCTTCCTATATGTTCAGATGTCGTATATATGTTTGCGGAACGGGTTGGAGTGCACCCGCAAAGGATTGGTTAAAATTGCCATTGGACTCTGTGTTTTACATCGCGATGTTTGTAACTCAGAGGGCCTGCCAGTGCCTGACTGCCGACACGGTGGGAAGACTAAAATCGATGAGCAGGGTTGTCTTCACCACTGACTTGGCAGCGAGCTCCACATGTTTACACCAGCCGCGGTGCGCGCCAGGCGCGGTTTCCCCACCGGAAGCCGTGGCCAGCAGACACACCTCCTCGAGGCCAACTCGCGAATGACGTCCGGAAAATCAACCGGCGTTCCGACGCGTGCCCCTCTTCTCTGGCCAGCTATGATCTGACTGCACTCCTCAGTCCAGCTGCCCGGTGACGATGGTCAGAGCACGGGGTCCTGGTGGGTGGGCATGCACGGCAGCAAGGACGCCATCACGTCGGGAGCTGACGGCTCGGCGGGGGGTGGGGGCGTCTGGGAGGGTTAAAAGACGGCCACGCTCCTCAAGACGTAGCCGATCGTTGGGTGGGAACTGCACGGGGGCCGAGAACGCGTCGTGTTCGCGTGAACTATTGGCCGCACGCGACGCGTTCCCCCGCCCCCCCCCCCCTTCGTCACAACTGGCACAGCATCATTCCGCTGACACCTGGCTCGATGCGTTCCTCGCAACACGTGTCACATCTCGCCCTCGCTCGGGGCACATCTCTAGGTCGTTCTATCACATGTGATCCCATGTGGCACGTCTGGAAATTACACATGGCGCTTCTCGCGGTCACTCGTGGCGCGGATCGCATCGTGGCGCGAAGCGCTGGCGCCGTCCGCGGTGCTGACGTACGTTCGCGTCTATGTCGTGCCGCCGGCCCGGTGCCGCCGGTGGATCCGGCCAGACCTGACCGGCCCGGCCGGGCCGAGTCGACATGACACCGGGACGCTTCGACCTCCGACGCTTCGACCTCCGACGCTTCGACCGGCGCCGCGACGGCACGGCACGCGCCGTCGTCACTGTCTCCCGTCAGCTCGACCGGGTCCGCCGCGCGCGGCCGCCACCTCCAGACCGGTTCTTGCGCTCTGATAGTCCCAGACCGGTTCACGTGAACTTCAGTGGGCTCGGTGCCGTCCTGTTGTTGGCTGATGGACTGATGACTGATAGACTGATGCCACCTGGGTCCCTGTCAGTGACAGCGAGCCCCAAACCGTCGAGCCCGAGCTCCCGTCGCCTTCGGCACCTCCATGCTGGCCAGTGTGGGCTGCGGTGGATCCTGCATTTTAGGTTTACATCTGATCACCCGTGATTTAAGATCGCCTAAACACAGAGGGTCCTGGGTGTTGCCCATTTAAGTCGTGTGCCTATCATGCGCTTCGGCTTTGCGTGCAAAGATTGAACGGTCGAATAGTCGCACAAGCATGCCGAACTTACCATGAGCGTGAAACCTATGCGCAAGAGTGGAATGTCGCGCTGTGCATTCGCTCAGTGATAGCCCTGCGTGTGCTGGTACACGCCTTCAAATGTGCCCGTTGGTTTGCGTGACTTGAGACCGGTCGAACAATCTCTGATCGGAAAGCGATCCACCATCCATGAGTGGCGTGTTCCCGCCCTCGTCGTGGCGTGCGGGGAGCAAGCCTGGGAGCTGGAGCTGCCGAGGAAGTGGGATGGAGCCGGGCCGGCGCCGGAGCCGTGTGGGGTGGCCGTCGTCAGCTCTGTTCGGCCGCAACCGGTGTTGGCGATAGTGAGACCTTGATGCCGGTTAACCTCATACACCGACGGCTGGCTGCCGCGCTGCAGCTGCGATGCCGCCCGAAAATCTGAGGATCGACAGAGGCATTGCCATGGAAACGCAAAATGCCATCGATTCCCTCAAATGTAAATGCAGGTATTATTTGTGTCATCGCTACAGCGCTCTGAGCTAAAACTGATAAATGCACAAGAATGTGACAGACATGCCACTGCTTTATGCCGACGCTGTTAACTTTGCTTCTGCTTTTTAGAAATGCCTAATTCTTATAATGCCATATTCGAACCATCCCTCGATTAGTTTATGCACAAAAATCAGTGTTACAGATCCTTAGCTCGTCCCCGGCGCGTTTTTCGAAGTAAGTGCACAAAAGGTGCGTGAGATTGAGTGCACTGCTCCGTACAGTTAGTTTAGTTTGTTCTCAGCAGTGGTGGGAAAAGCGCGGTGCACAACAGAACTTTCATGAAAAAGGGGCTTGTTCGTCCTTTCAACAGATGTGGCTAGTAGGCACCGCACACTGAAACATGCAACCACAACCGTTCTCGTCCTCGTTACGTCACGGT